CACAATTGAAAGATATTCAGGTTTGATTTTAATAAAGAATGATTACCCATGGTATTCATCGCTCTTGTGAACAATTATAAACGGTAAAAGTTTATTGATGCTGTTCAAAAAAATGTTTTGTAAATCATTAGAATATGCATGTGGCTCTCACGAAAAAACTGTAATACTTCTACCGAAATGGATTTTAATGTAAGATATTATCTAAATCATACGATAACAAAACTTTTCGTACAAATTAGACATTCTATTGGTGCACTAAACTTAAAAATAACCTACTTAGTAAGAAATTTACTTAAGTATGATTTCGGAAAAGTAGCTAGCTGATCTTGCCAGTCGTCGAGTCAACCATATTGGTAATTGAATATTCATCAAAACCTTGGCTATTGTCTTAAAAAAAAATATATATATAAATTTCACGCTATTTTAGTTTCTGCACGTCGTTTAGCTGCTCATTTTCAGTATTATTAAAATTTACAGGTAAATTTTTAGTATTTAACGTTCTCAAAGTTGAAAAATGGCTGGAAAATAAATCATTTAATGTTCTAATTTTTTTCAATCATTTTCTATCTTTAGGCGTGAGTGATACTTCATTCTCATCTGTTTCTACAATTATATTTCAGATCCACATTCTGCCGTTCAACATGCCTGGAATGCAGCATTACACGCAACAGCGCCAGGTACATTATAAAATTTGTCACTTGAAGTCAGAATGCCATTTTTAGTACGAGAAAAATAAATTTTAGGTTCGGAAGCTGTTCGTCATGCTTGGGATAATATTGAACATTATTTGCATCCATCACAAGGTAATTGTTGTTCAGTACATACTTATTTTCTAAAAATGAGTATTCGTTTATGTTCATGTTTAGGTGGTAGTCCAGCAGTGAGAAGTGCCTGGGATCATATTACTCATCCAGAACATTATCCGCATCCATCACAAGGTAATTTTTGTTCAGTATATACTTATTTTCTAAAAGTGATTATTTGTTTATGTTCATGTTTAGGTGGTAGTTCAGTAGTGAGAAGTGCCTGGGATCATATTACTCATCCAGAACATTATCCGCATCCATCACAAGGTAATTGTTGTTCAGTACATACTTATTTTCTAAAAATGAGTATTCGTTTATGTTCACGTTTAGGTGGTAGTTCAGTAGTGAGAAGTGCCTGGGATCATATTACTCATCCAGAACATTATCCACATCCATCACAAGGTAATTGTTGTTCAGTACATACTTATTTTCTAAAAATGAGTATTCGTTTATGTTCACGTTTAGGTGGTAGTTCAGTAGTGAGAAGTGCCTGGGATCATATTACTCATCCAGAACATTATCGTCAACAATCACCACCATATTACCCACCTCCATCAAATTATCCATCTTATAATCAATCACCACCACCCCAAAATTATCCACCGCCTTATAACCAAGGCCCACTACCACCTCGGCAAGGTGGTAGCAGTATTGCTTCAATATTTGGCAAATTAGCTGGACGTTAATCTATATTAATTTAGCATTTATGCGTCTAAACTTCTCTTTTTGTTCTTTCCAAAGATGTATTTTATTGTTCCTTCAACACAAAGATATCTTTCACCCTTTTCACCATAAGACTGGTTTTCTTAATGAAATGACCAACATCAATTCCTGCTCGTCATCGTATTGAAACAGTCAATTTTATTCAATAGACTATTATTGTATTTTCAAGACTTTCGTATTTTCTATACATTTTACTAAAAAAGACCAAGTGATATAATGGAAGACAATTTATTTTATACACAATGCATTCTTCCAGTAATACATGATGTGTTATGATTTTGACTAATACTGCCTTGTTTTGTCGTGTTTGTACTATTATAATTTATTTTCGAAGACGTTAGTGATGATTGATTTATAAATAACGTTGAACTCGATGGCGATTTAATTGATTCATAATAAATTTCATGCGAATGATTCATCGGTGTATCCCCTGGATACGGAGGCGGCTCATAAAATTCATCCGATGTAGCTAAAGAATATCGATAGGACGGTGGAGGTATATTGTTATGATTTGATCTTAGGTTACTGTCTGTAATAAATGGTGAGTAACGAGGTAATTGTGATGATGTACTTTGTAGTATAATAGATGCCGGTAAAACGTTTGATTCTGTTGAATTTGATAAACAACATTGTTTTCCATTTATAAACGATGAATTACATGACAATAAATTTAACGGCGATTTTTTACGAATTAGATAAATAAAAATAGATACAATTGATACTACGAGAAGGATACTAGCAGCAAGAAGTGCTAAATGATAAAAATAAAAATTTTATTTTAATAATACTCTAAGGTAGAACGACACTAATCGTATAGACTAGTTAAAAAAAAATGATTATTTCATACCAGAATATTTTAATGCATCAAAATGACTTGAAGTTGACGAATCGGCTATTGTCAATTGCACACCGATATGCGATACGGTACTAATATTTTCTAGAAATGAACGTAAACGAAAATAGAACGTTGTGTACATAGATAATATAAGAAACATACTACGTTTATGATACTGTTCACATGCTCGTTTATTTCTGTACGTTAGACATGTTACATATTTAAAATCACTTTCACATCCAAGTCGACAACTGACATTATTCCCTTGAATACACGTATAGAAATCACCTTGACATTGACCTAAAGAATAATTAAATGATATTTGTGAACAATGATTGTATAGTTCAATTAGAAAATTCAGTATAAGATGACATCGTAATAAAACTTTAATAAGATCGCATCGTGCTCTAAATTACGATTGAATGAGTTTTTCTTCTTTTTTTCTTTCTTTCTTTCTTAATAATGTTAAACCATCATTGTTTATCTTACATTGAATTTCATCTGAGCCATCATTGCATTGATTTACACCATCGCAGACATGATCCCATGATATATTAAAACCATTTCGGCATGAAAACAAACTCATGGCATCAATACTAAAATAGTAAAAAATCGAATGATAACAAAAACTATTTATGTCTATTCATATGAATCAGAGTGGATCTTTCCATTTTTTTTTCTATCTTTTTTTTTTTCTATCTCCAACTTCAATAATAATTTCATATCGAATTAACTATTTCACCATAATCAAATTTGTACGCGAACTCTTTATAATAAACTAAACTCTTAGTGAATGATAAAATTTATGTGGATAGTTCTATACTGATTGCTCTTCATTATTCTACTATTCGACTATCTAAAAAGATATGTTGATAGTTAGTTATTCTAACATTCAGGAAAGAGAGAGAAAAATAGAGGATACAAATTTTTATTTATAGAATAAGATGAAGAGTCTGTCATCTGAATACTTGAAAAAAATTTAACATATACACACCAAATGATTGATGAACAATATGTCAAAAAGATATCTCGATTGATGAAGTCCAAAAATAGGGAATCTCGCTTTCATCATGAAGGTGTGTGAAGAAACATAAACTAAAAATTGATAATAGTGACAAAAAGTTAATTTAACGCCTGTTAACGTGTGAACATATAACTTGTCCTACATTATTACATGAATAGTTAACGTAACTAGAGAATCAACTATTCTGCGGATAGATTGGAAAGTCAACGCAGGAGATGGCTGAGAATTACGGGAGAAAATACTGTCTAAATATTGTCTTGTCTATATCTTTACTTTATATGCTTTTGAGACTCTGGTATTAATAACAGATCTCTCTCTTAGAGTGAACAGCTATAATCATTAAAGAAGGATTGTACAAATCCTATTTGAACTTCTATAGTTGAATTCTTAATTTGCTCAGAATTTTTGGTTTTTTAGACATTCTAATTTTGTCTATTTATTGTCTCGCTCAATTCAATCTCTAATTTAACATTCGTTCTCAGCTATTCGTGATCGTATAGATTTGAGCAAAAGACTATTCAGAAGTAGAGGAGTTGCTGCCTTACAAATGTATTGTAGAGCGTATGATGAAATAATGAATTAGTCTACTGTTTCCAGTACTAAACCTATGAATATCGAGTGTAGAAATGTATGAATAGACTAATATCAGAGAAACAGATGCTCAGAATCTTGCACAATTAATGGGATTCTAACAACTGAATAATATAAGGGTATTTATTTTGCTTAATTTTCTTCTTTTTTCTCTATACAAATATATAAATAAACTATCCTAGAGAAGTTAATAATTCCGTAGTTCTGTTTATGTAAGAAATTCAAATGGTGTCTAAAGTGTTTCTAAGAAACGTTTCACTTGGTCGGCTTTCCAATCTGTCCGCAGGATAGTTGAGATCTGTTTTTTGTTTCTTTCTTACTCTCTCATTCTATGTATATCTTCTCTTCTTTCTATGCGTTTATATCACGTGCCAGTTGATTATCTCGCAAGAAAACGGCAGTTTTTTTAAATAAATACTCAACTTTCACGACTCTGAAGAACATAATTAATATAGATATGGAGAAAATGATTTCAACTGTTTCATCTATAACTCGTCCTCTTTCGATTGACGTTTATCCCAAATCTGTACTATCACTAATAGCTGAAAAGGGGTGACTGAATTCAAAGAAAAAAGTGTCCAATAAGAAGAAGATTTTATAATTAAAGACAATCGGTCTACTGCATCCATTTAATTAATTTCCCAATAAATTAATTCACTTATCAGTCTTTTAGCTTCAATGTTTTCCGCTTTTTAATACAGACCATTTTAGAAGTGATCGAAGAGAAATACTTTGAGAATATATTTTAACATAATTCTTAATATATCATCTGACCTTCAAACTATGGCGTCTCTCACATTAGATATGTTTTACGTCTGATATTGACGAAAAGTGAACTTTTAGACATGTATCAAAGAGTCTGATGTTATAAATGAACAGTATGGTGTTACTGCTTTGTGTTTGTGTAATTATTTCTCTTGCTCTTGCCATCATAGTACATTCGACATATTAGCATTCAATAAACAAACTTAATATTATAGCCTTATTTTGATTTTCCAAAACTTCGAATCAAAAACATAAAAATTAAGTTGGTTAAAATTTGCAGAAATTATGAAAGTTATTTGCACTCCATCTTTTTTTTACTATAATAGGCTATAATACTATCTGTATAAATACATGATATCTTAAACTTAAGAATTTCAGCTACAACAATAAATCTATACCTTATATTTTGCTGCATATTTATGTTAATAATGAATCAGTTGTTGCCGTTTATAATTAGCCAATTACTTTTTGCGCATCAGTAAACATTTAAAAGAAGGAATGAAAATGTTTACAAGAAAGAAATCTATTAGAGTGAATTGTTTAAAATTAATTATTTTGTTCCATTGTATTCTAATGTTCAATGTTCAATGAACAGAAAAATATTTTCTTTCTCTCAACGTCTTTGTGCAATATTCATTCTTACATTAAAGAGAGAAAAAAAAAGAAAGTGTATTGAACATATTCATATGTACATATGAATGAATAAAAAAATAGCGTTACCATAAGATACGAAGTTAACAGTTTATATCTTTATAGGGCCAACTTAACAGAGAAAAAGAAAATATGCTCATGTTTTTTGTGTGAACTATCTTTGCCCGGGTCGTTATATGTACATACACTTCTCACTTTTCTTTTTGAACTAAAAGACGATATACATTCTTGTATCGTGTGTTTGTTTACGATTCGATTCCATAATAATGAAACAAATGCACTAAAACAAGTGTCATACATAGACAGAGAAAAATTCTCAAAAGTCATACACATACATACTATGCTTTGTTTGTTTCTCATTATAATAGAATAAGAAGAATTTTATTGCTTTCAAAAACAATTTACTAAGTTTTTTTAGTATTGAAAAGAAAAGAAACCATAAAAAATAGAGCAAGATTATTGTTTGGTCGAAACGCACAAAACCATCAAATGATTGATATTTGAGTTTGATTTTCAAACTAACTTCTTACAGATATAAATTATCTTGAAAAGCAAACGTTTGTCGAAGAACTGTACCGCATAGTTTATACTTTGTGAAGATTCTATTATTAATCTTCTTATTAAACGATATTCTGAAATGTAACATAGAGTGTTCATTGTCGTCATTCCTCTCTATCGTTAAAATACTCTAATAGGCAAATAACACTTGATTCCTGTCATTCGTCTGTCATCAGAATTGTTTCATATGTCCATGCATACATTATGAAAACATAAAGTAAATTACTGTCAAAAAATTAGTTTCTTTCTCTCTCTCTCTAGAGATTCATATCATCTAGAAATTATTAATAAACAAACATTTAACTAATGGACAAAGGAGCGCACAGCTTTTAATTAGTTGATGGAAATGTGCGAAATTGTATTCCAATGAATCTGTTTCCTATTCGAATACAAACTTGAGACGAGAAGTGGTAGTAAAATCAATCAAATAAAAGCCTAACATATATCTTATACAAAAACTATCACGTCACATAGTAACAGTCGTATCTGATTACTTGTGACAATTATTATTATATACATGAAAAACTAAACTGTTCGCTCTCTCTCTCTCTCTCTCTCTCAATTTATTTTTTATTTGTCAATGATGATCATGTTTCTAATCTTTTGAATGAAAAAAGAAAATTTGTATCAAACATTGTTTAGGTTTATTACGGGCGGGGAGGGGGGCGTTGCAAAGGTTCAAATATTGGAAATGACTAAAAAAACTTTCTCGCAGAGATAGTATGACGTGAGAACTTTCAACGGTCAAAAAATACAAAACTTTTCATAGATTTTCCATGATTATTTTATTATTATTAGAGATGAGGTAACCAACCCTTCTGCCTCTTACTTTCTATTGGTAGTATTCAACAAGAGTTAAAGATGGTAATACGTACGTTGTTTGTATCGTTGACAAATGTCTATGTAGTAATTAAACGAAGATTTGATGTTTTCCAACTATTTTTTTTTCTTCGAGTTGTTGAATAGAACGTTGTTCAAAATCATATCCTGTTAACATCCGATTTGATACGAGAACTCTTGGCGAACACACAATAGTATAAAAGGATCATACCATGTATGCATATGTCTAAATACATGAACACAAGAGAATGTTGTTGTTTAGGGATAAAAAAAGAAGAAGAACGGGAATCCATGCAGTCGTTAGCTAATGAAGAGAAGAAAGAAGCTTAAGAAAAATCTTCGTATAGCAGTGACAGAGACGCACGTCGGCATTACGAATTAAATATGTCATAATCAACAGAAGGAAACGAGGAGAGAAAGGAAAAATCAGAAAATAAGAACTAAACAATGTTTTGTATAGAACATATAGATAGAGAACGTTTTTTTGTGTTTCTGGCATTTAGATAATTTTAGAACTGCTGATGTGGAAAGAATAATAGAAGGGTGTCTCTTTTTCTCTCTCTCTCTCTCTCTTTTTAGCACAATGTTTTTTAATCATAAATCTTTTTATCTATTCATGTTTCTGTATTGCTAGAAATGTATTACATTCATGAACACATTGATAGCTGTTAAAAAACATTTTAATTGTTGACAAGAGAAAAAAACCCATCAAGATGTTTAATTTATTAGCTATCCATGTATATCAACAGTGAGAAGAAGAAAACTGTCACAAAAATCGAACTAATCGTTATAAAACTGCTGCTAAATACAATATATGAATACATATAATAGTTTATGTTATGTGTGCAAATGCGTTTACTGTAATGAAAGATATTTTTGATCAAGGATCAATTCACCAAAAACAGATAAAAAAATGGCATGCAATCTTAGTCCATTTAAGCTGTAAATGAGATTTGTAAACTACGAATCTAAATAGAAAGTTTTTCAATACTCGACAATAGCTTCTCGCATTCAAAAAACTGCGATATTTAAGAGATAATGAAAATGAACACATAACTTCAGGGAACTAACAATTTCTTCTAGTAGATCAGTTTATATATAAAGCTTCGCACGAGTACATCAGAACAATTATCGTTTGAGAAAAATGCAGCGTTCCT